TTCCTGCTGTTTCTTGTTCAAGCAGTAATTGTATTCACTTCCTGTTTACTGTGTCTGCACCGTGTTGTGCTTGCTACCACATTTACGGATTAAGCTCACTAATTTCTAGGTTTATGTAGACATCAGCAAATTTTTTGAATCATGACATATGCCTGCGCTACTTAAGCACCTGTATTACAGAAGTTCTTGCTAATTTCCAAATTTAACTTGTTACTTTTGGTCGGCTAGCTTAGAAGCTAGCTAAGCTAGTAGCTTAGTTGAGAGAAATGGCTTCCCCCTCTTCCTCTCCTTTCTCTTGCTCGGAGTATCACATGTTCAGCTATTCCTCTGCCTCCTGTAGTGATAATGGTACTTGTAATAAATGTCAGATGCTAGCAGCATTGGAAGCATGTGTAAGATTTGAGTCTTATAGACTCTAGTTACTTTATCAGCTTTAGTTACTTCTCATACCTGTAGTTCCTTTTAGTTACCTTTCATAACTTTATCTTACTTCTTTATGCATATTACAGCTGTATTGATGATTGTCCAGAACTACTGAGCTTTGGTTATTTTAATGCATTTGTTTCCCTTGCTTATATATCCTACAGCTGTAATGAAGCAGAATCTGCTTACTTTGAATGCTGTAACTTCTGTGTAGAGACAACTAAGAAATAACCTAACACACCTCAACCCATTTAGCACATCCCAAGCTTTGCTTTGTCTTGGGATGTCCTGCAGAGGCCGGGGGCTCACCACCGGAGAGATACACACACGTGCACACACACACACACAGCTAGATTTACCATATTTCAACATGGAAGTGCGAGCTCCAGCTCACACCAAATGACCAATAGGATCACAAACTATTGAAGGTTGCACCTCTGTCCAGGGCGGAGCAGCCCAAGAAGATAAAATATATTGTAAGAACTTAATTCAGGGTCAGTGGATGGAACTCCTGCGGGAGCTCTATCTCTCTGATCCCAGTGCTGTAAGGCCTGTGATCAGACATTCAGTAAACTTTCTGCTGATTTTAAACAGTCCTCTCCTGTCGTCACTTCTCGTGCTTCCAACAAAAGAATTGGGTTAATTTCTAACAAAAAGGTTAGAATCTAACACATGGCTCTGCACCATGGAGAACAGCCCAGCTAGCTAGATGCCTAGGAGCCTCCTACATGTAGCTATGCCCAAACTAGCTGTCCCCCAATGCTTCCCGAGCAACCGGGAGCTCAGCCAGGTGACCAGGTGACAGTTCACAAGAGTCGTGGCTCGAAATGAGTGCCCACAGTTCATCACCTGCTTGTTTACGTTTCAAATCAATTTCCCCACTTAGTGACACACCTGCTGAGAAAACAACTCTGGTAATTGGCGACTTCATAGTCAGAAACGTGAAGCTAGAAACACCAGCAGGTATAGTCTAATGTATTCCTGTGGCCAGAGCGGGCCACAAAAAATCCTATGTGAAGTTGCTGACTAAGGATAAACGTAAATACAGTAAGGTAGTTATTCACGTCAGAGCTAATGACTCCCGACTTCGCCAGTTGGAGGTCACTAAAATGACAACTGGAAAACATTTTGGGGAAAACCTGGTCTGATTAGTAGAGATGGCATCCATCCCACTTTGGATGCTGCGGCTCTGATATCTAAAAATCTGGACGAGTTTGTTTTATAACGTAAATTATTACAACCTAGAGCTAAGACCAGGACACAGGGTCACAGTGTTATACACGTCTCTGCTGTCTCTTTGCAGCTGCTACCCACCCAACGCTCCCAGTACCCCATAGAGAGTGTATCTGCCCCCCAACCACCTAAATTGTATAAATCAAAAATCAACTCAAGAGGAGTTATTCATAAAAAACCTAATTAAAATTAAGACTACTCCTCTTGTAGAACAAAATAACGGCAATCAAATATGGACTATTAAATATCAGATCTCTCTCGTCCAAATCTCTGTTAGTGAATGATTTGATAAGTGAACATCACATTGACTTATTGTGTCTTACTGAAACGTGGTTACAGCAGGAAGAATATGTCAGCCTAAATGAATCCACTCCACCTAGTCACAGTAACTGTCACATCCCTCGAAACACAGGCCAAGGTAGAGGTGTGGCAGCGATCTTTGACTCAAGCCTATTAATCAACCTTAGACCTAAACATAGTTATAACTTATTTGAAAGCCTCACCCTGAGTCTCTCACACCCAAAGTGAAAAACTCAAAAGCCAGTTCTAAGCCAGTTCTATTTATTATTGTTTACTGTCCACCTGCTCCTTATTCAGAGTTTTTAAGTGAATTCTCAGACTTTCTGTCTGATTTAGTGCTTAGTACAGATAAAATAATCATAGTGGGCAACTTTAATATTAATGTAGATGCTGACAGTGACAGCCTCATCGGTGCATTCAGTTCATTATTAGACTCGGTTGGCTTTTCTTAAACTGTAAATAAACCCACTCACTGTTTTAATCACACTCTTGATCTTGTTCTGACGTTGTTCTGATGTTCTGTTCGAAACTGAACACTTAATAGTCTTTCCTGAAAACCCTCTTCTGTCTGACCATTTTCTAATAACTTTTGAATTTCCATTAATGGATTATACTCTATGTGGTAAACAATTCCACTACAGCAGATGTCTATCTGACAATGCTGTTACCAAGTTTAAGGAAATAATTCCATCATTATTTACTTCAGTGCCGTTTGCCAACACAATGGAGGGAGGCCACCTTAACTTTACTCTCACACAAGTCAATAATCTTGTTGATAGTGCTGCAGCCTCCCTGTGTACAACACTTGATACTGTTGCCCCTCTGAAAAAAAAGGCAGTGAAACAGAGGAGGCTAGCCCTGTGGTAAAGAACTCCTCTCTATACCTGTCCTCTTACATCTCAGCATCTTGTTACAAAGACAAGAACATGATGTTCGGATTAAACGAACTGCACTAAGCTGGTTCAAGTCTTATTTATCAGAAAGATTTCAATTTTTTTCATGTTAATGATGAATCTTCTGTGCAAAATAAAGTTAGTCATGGTGTTCCACAGGGCTCTCTGCAATTGTCTCCATGTTATACGTGCTCCCTTTAGGCAATATTATCAGGAAACACAGCAAAAAATTTTATTGCACAGATGATACTCAGCTATATCTTTCTATGAACCAGACAAAACTGAAGTTATTGTACTTGGGCTTGAAAACCTTAGAAATCTGCTGTGTAATCATCTAGTTACTCTAGACGACACAGCTCTGGCCTCCAGTACTGCTGTGAGGAACCTTGGAGTCATTGTGACCAGGATATGTGCTTTAAATCACACATAAACCAAGTCTCTAGATCTGCCTTCTTTCACCTGCGCAATATTGCAAAAATCAGGAGCATCCTGTCTCAAAGTGATGCTGAAAAACTGGCCCATACATTTGTTACTTCCAGGCTGGACTACTGTAACTCTTTACTATCAGGATGTCCCAATAATTCCCTAAAAAGCATCCAGTTAATCCAAAATGCTGCAGCCAGAGTCCTGACAAGAACTAGCAAAACAGATCATCTCTGTCCAACATTAGCTTCTCTCCACTGGCTCCCTGTAAAATCCAGAATAAATTTTAAAATCCTTCTCCTCACATACAAAGCCCTTAATGACAGTTTGTGGGTTGTGCTGGTCAATAAGAAAAGATTAAACCATACTGGAAACCAGACTGTATGGGCTCATTCTTTGAAATAATGTACAGTAGCTTCTAATATTGTACAGACTACAGCATACCTTCATATTTTTGTATTTTGATTCTTGCACTTTACAGCTAAGAACAAACAAAACATGCTCCTGTTTTGCAGTGGTCTGATAGATAATACAAGTGACATATGAGGTTACAATAAGAATCTAGTCCAGGTCATTGTTATGAAAAAGGAAAAGAGCCTTTTTCAAGCGGTGACCCAGACTGTTGAGCACAGTGTTTACTGTCAGCCTCTGTGCAGTTTTCAGATGTTAGCCAACACCTGACGTCATCTATGTGAGTGAAACCATATGTAACCACCCTACCTGGAAAAACAAGAACTCCTCCTCAGGTTTGGAACTTCCATTGTAGTTCTTCAATACCAAGCTATATAAACTTGCACACTGACCTACTTTGACAGCAGAAGAACAAGGTATCAGACTCAGAGGACTTCAAACTTTCTGACCTTTAGACCTAAGGTAACATTTATTTACTGATTTCATGGTACAGAGTTTTACTTCCTGCTTTGTGAATTCATTCTGACAGAGGGTTGGATGGAGACTTAGTCAGAGTCAGCCGCCGAGGATTAGAAAGCACTGCTGTTGAGGTTTTGCACTATAGGTGAGCCAACTCATGTATAACTGAGCTGCACTGAACTAATGATGCAGAACTCACTGCTGTACAGGCACTAAGACTGAATTTGACTCAAGATTTTTTTTTACCCCACTTCAGAAAGTTAGAGCAATTAGTCTTAATAGGATTAGGATTAGAGAAGGATCCTGGACCCAGTTGCACCCTAATAGAGGGATTTCTGTAAATCAGAACTGCAGGTTTAACTCAGCTGTCTGAGCTCTGCACAGATACTGTGACATATTCGTGGAAAATTACAACAAGAGAATTTAAAAAACTGTAAATACTGGACCTATTTAGTTCACTGCAGTGATTTTTTTTTTCCATAACTGGGAGTTGTACTCATATGTTCGGTATGAAGCTGCACAAAGACTGCAGCCTTTATCTTTAACCTTAAGATTAGGTGAGTTCCGTATTTTCCTCAGTGAAATCAGATCTCAGAGCAAAGGCTTTCCTTCCAGAATCTGCTGTTTGACAAGTTCCAGCTCTAGTTGAAAAGACGTATCCTTTGTTCAGAGTTTTAGTGGGAACTTGTGGATGTTATTGTTCTTCCAGGATGTTATTGATCATCTGTGTGTCACTGCTGGCGGCCTCCACTCTGGGCCAACTGGATAGAGCCTCAATGGATGCCCAGTGGGACCAGTGGAAGATCACATACAACAAAACCTACAGTGAACCGGTCAGTGTCCACTTGTCTGTGTTTTAAAGCCCAGATTCTTCAATGCCAAATACAAATCACATTTATTTGGCCAAGTATGTTACACACAAGGAATTTGTTTTCAGTACAGAACCGAGGCAGCCATTTGCGGTGCCAACTCAACCGATGGCTCTAACCATTGGGGGCAACTTGGGGGTTCAGTGTCTTGCCCAAGGACACTTCAACATGTGGATTGCAGGCACCAAGATTCAAATTTCTGACCCTCCGGTTGGGAGACGTCTGCTCTACCCACTGAACCGCAGTCACCCCCATACAAAAATACCTGAAGGAATTTTAATTAAGAATATAGAGGTGAAGATGGAAAAGGCATAAAAATGTCAGGACAGAGGCACAAATATAAGCACTTTAAAAAGGTTCTGGTAAAGTGTTAAGCAGTAGGTGTGAAGACATTATTTAACAGATTTTGAAAGGCTGACATGGCTCTTTTTTATTTTTCACATCTTTCTTTTTGATTTAAAATGGAGAGGCAGGTTAAATGTTTGGTCCAGACAGGAGAGAGGATGAGTTAGACTGTGACCAATGTCTGCTTTGTTTATAGAGAATACAGTTGTATCATTCATGGATGAATTTTTGCTTGAAAAAATTCATTTGTATCCAAGATGAACCAAGATCTGTTGAACTGACAAAAGGTTTTTTAGAATATTGTCCATTTTGTTAGCCTTTGTACTTTGAGCACCTGAACATAAGCACAAATAAGTTTAATCGTGCTCTACCTGCTACAGTCAGATATTGTTTTGCAGACATGTTACGTGTCAGCGTTGTGTGATGTATCCTTTTCTTTAAAAGGGGATTATTGCAACTAAACTGGCTGCTATGGACACAATATACACACAGCACTGTCGCAAAAGAGCATGGAACATAATCAGAGACCTACTCCACCCAACTCCCACTCTGCTCAGACACAAAAACTGCACTCACAACCTCAGGCACAGCAGAGTGGACAGTATCATCACAGACAGAACAAGATTTTACAGCAGCTTTTTCTCTGCCGAAGTAAGACTGATGGCAAATACAAAAGGTGAAAAACCTGTTCAATAACCCCATCAACAGTATTTCGATTTTTCTATATGTCCTGCACATATAGTGAATTGACATTAAAAAATCTTTTATCTTGATCTTGATTACCCTACTAAGTAGAATACCATATACAAATACACTATGTGCAATATTTGAAACTCTGCATTTTACCTGCTATCTTATTCCTGCATCCACAATTTTATCAACTATTTTGTATTCTTGGGTGATCTTAAATTTAGACTAGGTGTTCATTCTTTTGGCTTTAAATTCTATACTTGACTCCAGGAGAGCCCTGCACAAGAATTCCTATATGCCTAGACTGTGTGTTTATGCAGAAATGGCGAATAAAAATCTTGAATCTTGAAAAGTTACTGAAATAAAGAGTTTAGAAATGTAATTCATAGGAGACAGAGCCGAGACCAATGGTAATACCCAGCAGCTGGATGGTTGCAAATGAAATTACTATGGTTATGTGGTTTTTTGTTTTGTTTTGTTTTACTAGATGCAGGGTGTATTCACATCTTTGCTTGTCAGAAAATTTTATCAATGAGTGGTAAGGAAGCTTCATTAAAGTTGAGATGATTAATGCTCAATGCTTAAAACAATATTTGTTCTGGCATTGATGCCTGTCTTTTCAGAGGCTGAGGAGAAAGAAAAGAAATTTCCAGCCTCTGCTTCTAACATCCCCTGACACATCATTATTGACAGGAACAAAACAAGGCTCAGTGCTGATGTGTGTGTCCAGTTCCACACCCTGACTACAAGTTATCAAGTTTTTCAAAGTTAAAAAAATTACTGTAAATCTCTGAGACAAATGTTTCCTTTAACCAGAGTGAGGTTTTGTACAGTAAATGTTTAAGAGAAACAATGTGGACTGTAAAAACAATTAAAGTGAGGCCAGCAATGGTTGTTCCTTTGGCTTGCAGGGGAAACAAGTCAGATGGAGCTAGAGAACAAAGAAGCCAAAGGGAAACATGATGTGCACAATGAGAAGTTACAGTGACTCCATCTTTATTCATTCAGAAAAGCTGCCTTTACAGCATGTGTTATGATAAAGGTTAATAAGTAAGTGAAACTAAAGTGAATAAGTAATATAAGTAAGCTTTGAAATTTGAAAAACTTCATAAGGTTTTTAAAGTTAAAAGGATCATTTAAAAGCTTCGAAACAAAGTGGCTCCAGCCAGCTGTTGTGGTTTTTTTACTAGACACAAAGTGACAAATGCTCTTTTGTTTGTTCCAGAAAGAAGAACAGGTTCGCAAGGCCATCTGGGAGAAGCACCTGAAAATGATCATTCACCACAACAAGCGGGCAGCGCGGGGCATGCACAGCTATGAGATGGCCATGAACCAGTTGGGAGACATGGTGAGTCTGAGCTTGCTCTGCGCCTTCAAGGCCACGTTTCCACTCAGATCTCACCCTGTGTGATGCCAAACTGTTTTTCTTGTTTGTATCCTTGGTATCAGTAGCTGATATCAACATTTCCGCTCAAGTTAATGAATTTAAAAAAAGTGTGTGTGCCATTCAGAAGTCTCAGGATGTGACATCAGATTTTAAATATTATTTTTCTCTCTGCAGTTCTGACTTTGAGTCCCTGCTATTTTGTATTTTTGTTTCACTCACACACACTGCACCCCAGTAAAGTGAAACTAAACGAGTCGGGTCCTTAAATCAGCTGTAGTCAATGAATCTCAGCGCAGGTCATGACTGCTGTATATTATTTTACATCTGCTGTAACAAGCTGTTTATCAGTGTATAAAAACCAGGCCTCAGGCTCATCTATTAGTGGCAGGAGTCTACACATCTGACTTCAAAATAAATGGCCACTTTCATGTTTGTATGGGAACAGGTGGCCAGGAAATGAAGAATGTGTTTCCATTTTGACTGGAAGCATTTAAGTGAATGAAACCAATTAACAGATGGTGTCTATTTAATGCTCTTCCTTCTTACAGACTGAGCTGTAATGAAAGCACGATAGAATTCAGATAATAACTGACATTTTTTTAGACGATTGCTCAATATCTGTGACAGGCACAGTACAGAAATCACTTATTGTGGTTCCACTTTTGCTCTTCATATCACTCCTTCGTTTGTGTCACTGTTGTGTAAATATTGTAGATTTTTTGTGTGCTTTTATGTCTTCTTTTCAATACAGTACAAAAAATGACTTCAGTCAGGCTGCTGGATCAAATCCTCCATCTCCTCATCTTAATCCTAAAATACATCCTGTTGACTGTCCTTCTCGGGTTCTTGTGCTGAAACATTTGATCTCATTCCAGAAAATAAGGTCAAGTTTCAGGCATTCTATTGTTGGGGTGCTACAGTGTTTAACCTCTACCTTGTTTGACTTATTTTTGATCTAGACATTCAACCTTGCACTCTGTTCTGGCCTATCTGCACAAGGACCCCAGTGACATCTGCTAAGAAGTGAAACCTACAGTAAAAATAAGACATGTTAACTTTCTCTTTGTCCACACAGACACCAGAGGAGGTGGCTAAGACGATGACTGGCCTGCAGGCCCCCCAGATCCACTGGCGCAGCTTCACGGCAGCTCTGAACTACAGTGAGACCAACCTCCCCAAATGTATCGACTACCGCAAAAAGGGCATGGTGACATCAGTGAAGAACCAGGTCAGTTGCACGTCACTTGATGTAGTTTACGGTTTAAAGCAGCTATAATCTATATGTATAATAGCAATGCATCAAATGACAACATGAAAACTGTGACTGTCAAAAAACACTAATAGTGTCATGACCATAACAATTCTACAGTTTCCCTCATGTCTCTGGAACCTTATGATGATTTTCAGCCAGCTGTTCAGTTTCCAGCTTTGCTGTTTATATTCTCTCTCACTACTCTTTGGAAGCAGCTGTTTTCAGTGAAAAAGCTCTAAAAAGTTGGTGCACTACTGTAAGGACTGCTCGAACACAACAGTGAGCGAGTCACAAAAATAGACGGACCCAGGTGGCTGACTTCGGTGCAGACAGTGTAGTTTATTTACAGTGCTGTATAAGTGACAAGAAATGAACAGAGGAACAATGGAACCGGGTGTCGAGCATAGGAGTGTACACAGTCAATGATGGAGATGATGAGAAGAAGACCGGGCTGCGGACATTGGGACTCACTCCTGGACTGGTCGGGTTAGGTGCAACTGCAGATAAACAGAAATAGTACATACGGTGAGTGGTAGACTGTGCATTGACCTGCGGGGGTGGTGAAGAGCAGAGTGGAGGAGGTCCGTGGTCCGAAGGAGCGGCTGATGCAAAAAAGGGAATGTAATCTAAGCAGCTGGAGAGAAGAGACACAAAACACTAAACACAGAATCAGAAGAACAACAGGGAACAAACGGGCCTGAGAAAAGCTAGAAAGAACTGGCAAGGGAGTGAACGAAGAGCAGGGACTAAA